ATATATATATATATATATATATATATATTCTAGATCCTATATTATATACTTGTTCTATCTGTCTGATGTTTCTGGTGTGCTGTGCCGCGTGTAGTGACTAGTTGGGTCGTTACAAGACGTGCCAGAACGGGCCGTTCTAGTTTCAGAATGGGTCATTCTGCATGTGAATTTTACACATGATGAAGGAGCTTAGAACAGGCCGTTCCGAATTTGGAACGGGCCATTCTGGCCAGTTCAGACTTCTATAAATAGAGGTTGTGGGCAGTTGAGGAAAATGGAGGTTTAGAGAGAAGTTCTGGAGAAAAGGACTCTGGACTAGAAAACTATTTTTGGAGAGTTGAAGTTCAAGAGTCAAGTTTTGGAGGATATTTCTTCTTCTTCTTCCTTTCAAATTCTTGGCTTTTAAAACCAATCTTCAGGTAAGGGAAGCTAGATTGTAAATTTGTTGGTTGTATATGAGTTGTGTTACAAGGTGAAAATGTTGTGAGTTGCTAATATATGATTAAATATTTATTAATGATGTTGTTGGTGATGCTTTCATGATGGAGATGGGATGTAAATGAAATGATATAGTTGAAAGTTGTGAAGTACATGATGATAATATTGTGAGTTGTGAGAAGCATGACGTGAAGTGTGTAAATATGTTGAAATTTATATAGATGTTATTAGTAGACTGTGTTGTTAAGTTGTTAGAGGAGAGTTGTATGTTGCTATAAAGTTGTATGTTGTGTCATGTGTTGAAAAGAGATTATCTTGTGATGATTGAGTTGTAAATTATGAGTTGAGCTAATATTGTGTTGTTTAAAGTTGAAATGAGTTGTTGAGTTGTTTAGATGTGTTGTTAAACAATGTTGATGAGTTGTTGTGCTGATAAACTATGTTGTTCAAGTTGAATGTTGATTGATATGATGAGTTGAAAAGTTGTATGTTGTTTAAGTTGTTAAGCTGATTAAGCTGTGATGATGAGTTGTTGATCACTAGGATTAGGGGAGATGTTTTCGAAGTTGCTCATCCCATTGTGTGGATTGAGATAGTTGTGGTGCTCTAAGAGCCCAATTTGTTGAAAAACCCTCGTTGGGAAGTTATCCCTTGGAGTGGACGTTGTGTTGTTCTCCTCTAAGACTTAGTTGATCCCGTGTGTGGGCAAGGTCGAGGCACACGTGTACAAAGCAACCACGGTATAGGGGTCAGGCCTAGCTATACCGATTACAAGCGGCCAGATGTTTATTGTTGTAAAGTTGTTATGGTGTCTATTGTTGTAAAGTTAAAAAGTTGGGGACATATGGTGAAGATATATGTCCTATGTTGAGATACATAGTACTAAGGAGATAAGTTGAAAGTTGTTTTAAAGTTGAATCCCTTAGTACTGTGTGGGCAACATGGAAGTAGTCGATCCATGTCATGGTTGAATGACCAATTTGAGTAAGGTATCTAGTTAGAGATGTAGTCTTTGACTAGGCCTTGAAGGGTGCGTGGTACTTGGAGGATAGTGGGTGGGCCAACTCCATATGTGGATTGGTGATGCTAGCCAAGGCCGTGGTAGGCTCATACCCAAACCCTTCTGTCCTGACAGTAGTACTAGACCTCTGAGTCTAAGTGGCACACCTGAGCAATCGCCCATAGTTGTCTATACCTGGTTCTCTTCAGAGTTCCTAACGCTGTTCTATACCTGACCTAGTTAAGATAGGTCAAACGCTAGATTCGGTAGGGTTTATGCTACCTAGACTACTCAACCTCAGTTGTTGGAGATCTCCGAGTTGAAATGCGTGACGATGCATAAGTTGTTGATGAATTGATTTGTTGTTGATAAAAGTTGTATCTATGTTGTTATGTTGTTAAAATGTGATTGTGTTGTATGTTGACCTTGTTGAGAATGATGATAGTGTTGTTATGTTGTAAGCTGTTTTAAACATGTGTTGTTGAAAGATGTGTAATATATGTGTTGTTTGTCTTTTGTGTCGGATGTGAAGATGATTATATAGTTTTTATGTTGCATATTTGATATTTATGAGTTGTTTATTGTCTCTAGCTTACCCTTGCATGTTTCCATGTGGTTTGGACTGCAATGATCATACGTTGTATGGGAGCAGGGCATGGATAGACTAGGAGATAACTGCTAGAGATCACAGGAGGTGCCTGGAGATGAATATTTTTTTTAGGCTACCTTATAGTAGCATACTTTTTTATATATAATTGATTGTTGTTGGTTGCTTGATTAGCAACTTGTGTTGTAAATATTTTATTATACTATTTTAATATATATATTCCAGTAGTGTGTAGTGTTATTTCGTAATGTGACGGCCACGACAAGTCGTTACAATACGAACCATTTTGTATTAAGAAATGGAATAAAGACAATACAACTTGCATTTTATTTTCATAAAACTAATTTATAATTTATAATTATAATATTAGAACGAAATATTTATTAAAATAAATATTCTCTTTTCAATATAATTTATTTCATAATCAATATTAAAATATCAATTTCTTGATTAACTACTAATTCATAAAATAATGTCATCTATAAAAACTAATTTCCACAGTAGTATCATCTATAAGGACTAAATGATTAATTTCTGGCCGCATAATCTTCACATGCCATTCACATTATTGTTATATCGTTAGTCAAATTAGTCACATCATTAACAAAATCAATTAAAAAACTAATCATCAAGTAAAATGTGGGTATAAGATCCAATGTTAAGAAATATAACAAATAAAATTGCGTAATACAAAACCAAAAATGGTTGTATCTAACTTTTTCACACTTAAATCACAATGAATTGATAAAAAAAAAACATTTTACTGTAATAATAATAATGAAATACATTATCAATAATCTCCCAAATATATTGGATAAACTCTTAAATTTATCTCTCTCAAAAGTCAAAAGATATACTCTATCATATAATCTCACCCAAAACTCCTTGTTTTAGATTTCTACAAAGATTTATAAAATCAACTTAAGACATTGACTTTTATTGGAAAAATTTATTAACTAAATGTGTGAGCTTAAAATAAAGGATTTTTTTTAAATCTTTTTCTTTATCTAACTTTTCTTCAAACTCTCCCGTAATCTCATTTTGTTTATTTATGATTTATTAATTAGTATTTTAACTTGTATTATACAAAAATCAAATATTTATTATATATAACTAAAATTTATAATAAATTGTATATACAAATAAATAGTATGTTTAAATATATAAATTATATTTAAATTTTTTTAATAAATATTGAAATTTAATTCATAATTAATTATGATAAAAAGACAATTAGATAAGAAGTTAAAAATATTTCTAAAAATTTCTCTTCGAATAAAAGTTTTTAAATTCACTTTTGTATAAGATAATTGTTTGTGTTTAATAGGAGATAATTTTCTTAATATTCTCTCCTCTATTTAAAAAATCAACTAAGACTTACAATTTTTTATCTTGCTCTAACAAAAATTTACAAAATTTTTATACAAGAACTAAAACTTAAAATTGTGTAAAGTACATGGAGTAAGGTTGAGCAAACAAAAATGTAAGGAATCTTTCATTGTACACCTTTTGCACCAGAATATTCATATGTATGTTTATAACCTAACACTGGAATTTGCATGCCCTTAGAATTTAAGAAATTATGTGCACCATTAGAAACAAGAATATTCACCATCCATGAATGACAATGTGTCTCACCTCTCAAGTCAACTAGCCCACATGCTTCCAAAAGCTTCTTCAAGTGCCCTCTTCCTTGTGATTTCTGTACTCCATCCTGCAGCGTTTGCTCTTAGCCTCTTCAACCTCTTTGTTTCCTCATCATCATCAGAGTGTATAAAGATGTCGTCCCATGCAAGTGGTATCGGTTGTGGGCCAGAGCTTGAGGGTCTAGGATTTCCTCCTGGAAATGTACGTGCATTTTGTCCTTGAGGATCAACACCAAATCCTGCTTCAGACTTTTCACTTGCACCCTGTCACGAGAGTAGACTAAGTTAATCTTTTGCATAGTTGCATAATATTCTGCAATCTACTCCATCACTAGGCAGCACAAACTAGATATTCAAACAAAACACAGAGAAGTCATTTAACAAGCAACTTAGCACATAGTACAAGGCTTCAACCAAAAGTTTTGTTGGTACTAAGGACCTCTTAGGGTAAACTTTTCATAGGCACTTTAAGAAGAGAAGATTAAATAGAAAAAATGAAATGAAGTTTTTTATAAATTAAAATTAGCTTATTCATAAATTAATTTGTAGAAGTTTTTTCATATTATATTATTCAAAATCTTATTTTGAACTTATGTGTAAGTTAACTTTGTTTATGAAAAAGTTTATTTCAATTTTGTTTCCTATTTTTCTCTTCTAGAAGTACTTCTGAAAAAAAGTTTATCCAAACAAATTATAAATACAAATCAATGAGAGTCTTCCAGGATGAAAATCTTTAACCATATGCTTCCCAAAAGGCTGCAACCTTGGCAGCCTCAATAAGACCATTTCATTCTGGCATTCCATCGGCTGTAAAATCCTCCTCAAATGTACCATCAGAAATTCAATATACATGTACTCTCAATGTCCTAGAGCTTGTTAAGTAATGATAATGCTGCTTCATTTTCTCTATCTTGCCTAACAACTACAACTACAAGTGTTGATTTAAAAAATCTGATTGGGATCTTTTTTTTATATTATTATTATTATTATTATTGGGTTTCAATCTGTCAAGACGCAGACAAAAAGTCCACCAAATTCTGATTTAAGGAAAAAACAAATATTGACTTTCACATATGAAACTGAGGAAGTAGTTATATCCATAATCAGTTACATGCTAGTAAAAGTTAAATTCTACCAGAGGAAGTAACATGACATAATTGAATAAATTCATCTCAAATAATAGGCCTAGCTCAATTATGTTCAACTGATTGAGTGTAAAAATAATCTTAATAAAATAATAAAAATAGGCAACAGAAATCTGATGCTCACCATGTCATTATTAGTTTGGTCAGGTTGTCCCTTGCATGATGCTAAAGCTACAGCTAATTCTTCAGCCTGTTTAATTATTATCAGCATAACAACACATTGAAATATATTGCAGGAAATCAGTAGTTGCATAACAATTTTATGAATGGATTCATCGAAGAGACTGAACCAACTAAAAGATCAATATCAAAAGTACCTCTCGGGCATGATTAATATTTATTTGTTCAGCATTTTCTTCCTGGTATTTAGCAATCTTTTCCTCAATAGCAGCAACATCTATTCCTTCAGTCAAGTTAAGGACTGCAAGGGGGGAAATTATCAAAATAGAAAGCAAAATTATCAAGTGAAACACATGTCATCACAATCATATAGGCTTACTCATGACCTCTACTTCCTCCTTGTAATCATTGTATACTTTCAAAGATGGAAAATCATCCTGAAGTTTATTGAATCTATAAATTTCCAGTCCAAGTAAGCAGAAACCAAAAATTGAATGAGTTTAATGTAACATGGCCCCCAAAGTGAGAAAATTGGCAGTGAAATAGTACAGTCATATGATAAGCACACAATTGACACTAAACACCCAAAAAGAAAAGAAACTAAATAAAAACTACCCAACAAAAATTACACTGTAGTAATGTATAAATTTCGCTAGCTATTGCAACTTCAATAATGTTTTCATCCAGAACAAAAAATAACACATAATTTATCCTGAAAATTCTGCTGGACTATACTGTTACAAGTTAAATGCATTTGTATCGTTTTCATATAAGATGAAACCAACAGAGACATGGCATATCTAGTATTTCACATCATATATACGAAGCAATCAAGGAAGATAAAATGGGAAAGAAAAATATTTACATGCTATTGATCCTCCTCCTAATGGCTATCTCTTCATTGAAGGGATTGGTACTAGAGCTCACCATTCCACCACCAACAAATCAGATATACCTTTTCTGTTTATGAAATCATCAAAATAAGTGGGATATTAAAGTGCAATGGAACCGTTCGTGCAAACAAGATATATAAATACAGGTAAAACGACCTCAACTATGGAAGAATAAGGAGAGTAAGTACATCAAAAAAATCATACTGTCATTGACCAAAGATATTAACAGGAAGAAAAGTTTAGGAACTACAAGTAAAAATCAACAAAAATTTATGAACTAAAACTAGTAAAATATTTGTTCAAGGACCAAGATTGAAAATCTAAAAAATTCTAGGAATACTAAAGCATATTTAATATTCTAATAATAAAGATAGAATAGAACAAGCCATTAGTTAAAAAATTGGAAAGTAATAAAATTATCACTTTTCTTCTTTAGGAAGTTCTTGAAGGCAGTTACGTCATAAGCATTTTCTTGCATAAGAAGTGGTATATTTTTGTAGCAACACCAGGCCCTGAAGGCTCCTCCATGAAGAACAAGATAATTGGTCTTAGGATCATAAAGTTTTACACATTTTGCAAGGTGTTAAGAAGAGATAATGCGCCTTGTTATCTTGCATGTAATAATAATGGAATAAAGAGAGAAATCAGTTATGGAATTAATGAAAGAAAACCTGAGAAATCGCTAGCAACGACATGTAAAGAAGGCAGTGACGAGAGACGTGCTTTCTCTTCAGGAGAGAGAAATATATATAGGCTTTGACAACACTTATAACAGAGAAAGAACGAAAAAGAAAATATTTTACAATGGAATTAAAGAAACTTTTCATTAGTTTCTATTGTCTAAAAAATTTGTTAAAACAAAAATAAATTATATTTTTTTTTTTGCTTATTTTGTATTCTTACGTAAATCTGCAATAAAAAAATCTTTTGCAAGAAGATGATTCTTTCTAATAATTTTTTTATGGCTGGTAAGAAAATAAAATTAAAGAAAATTTTTTTACAAGATGTTTCACTTTAAAATTATTTTAAGGCTTAAATATGTGTTAGTTCCTCAAATTTAAGACAAATTTGTTTTTAGTCCCTCAAATTTAAAATTGTTGTTTTTAGTCCCTGTAATTTTCAAAAATCTTATTTTAGTCCCTTAGGACACCAATAATATATTTGAAAGTGACTAATTAATACAGTTATGCAACATCAACCGGATTTAGTGTAATATTTTCACTGATAGAAATGTTAATAGGTAGATTTTATGCAATAATATTTGATAAATTTCTTAACAAAATTTAAATATAAGATTAAAATAAGATTTTTTGACATTACAGGGACTAAAAACAACAATTTTAAATTTGAGGGACCAAAAATTGAATTACCCAATTTGAGAAACTAAAAACATATTTAAACATTATTTTAATTAAAAATAAATTTTTAAAATATATTAGAGTCGGAATAAAAAGTGAGTTTTAGTTAAGAATCAACAAGAATTATACAAGATACGTCAACTCAAATTATAATTTTATTCAAAAATTCGTTCGATGTAATAAACTAGTTTCCTACTCAGCGATGTCACCATGTACTGGCCCAATATGTTCATTATCTTGCACATGGTCTGACTAAAACATTCTTTCCACTTTTAGGTTCTGTGATAGTCTACAATAATCTTAACATTTGATAGTATAACCATAGAAAATATTTTCATACCATAAAATTATACAAATAGCAGAAAGACAAGAAAAGTAAGAATTGGGATAAAAAATAAGGAACAAAATAACACTTTTCATTATATCACCATTTATGTTTATGAATCTCCTCCTTTTAAAATTTATTTTCCTATGCTTGTAGATATTTCTGCTGTACTTTTCTTTCATGATTTCTAGTTTGAGTTTTTAGCCATCCTTATTTAGCATAATAATAAAAAATAATAATAATGAAAAAAGAAACATTTGATAATATAACAATCTTTTCAGATGAATCTCTGTTCCGAGTTCCCTCCTAAAAGTTTCCATCACTTTCACTTTCTCTCACTTTTATCATTTTCTGTTAGACCCAAAACAATCAGCCTACACGAGATCCAACACGCTAACATGTTGATCTCAACTTCCAACACCGTATAGATGTGATCTTGATGTGTCTAGCTACAATTCAAGCAGTTTTAACAAACATGAAAATCAATGAAGGTCAATCACAGAAGAAATTCTTACATTATAAGTACACACATTAACTGACGCACACACCTGTCAGTTTATTTTGAAATTATGTTTGTCAACAAAGGACTGTAGTTTCTGAAATTTTCAACAAAACAATTTACTTGGAAGATACAGAAAATTTCTCATAAATCTTTTACAATTATACAAATAAACCATCTATGCTGAAAACCTTTCTCTGTCATGAGCAGCAGAATAATCAATATTTGGCCCCACAGGAACCACCCCAAATGGATTGATAGAAGGATGACTTCCATAGTAATGCAATTTTATATGTTCCATGTTCACTGTGCTGCTAATGCCAGGGATTTGGAAAATGTCTTTAGTGTAATTGAAAAGATTCGGGTATTCACGCAGCAGCTTCTTGTTGCACTTAAAGTGAACTGCATAAACCTAAAATTATAACAAAGGCCAATTACTCAACAGTCAGAACATTGGAATGGATATATTGCAAAATGAGTCCCAAAATAGGAAAGCAAAAGAGAACATGACATCAGAAGTTACCTTAATAATAAGATCACCAATCATGCGATGATTTATTTTACACCAAAAACATAAAAGGGAAAAACGACTATTCTGAACTATGGAAAATTTAATTTTTTCTTTTTCTGTTTGCATTTGGAAGACTCCGGTGCATTGATATGGAAAATATTAGAGATTTTCATTTGTTAGAACTCTGGCATAACTTTGTAAAATTCCAGGCCCAGGATAGAAAAATGAGTTTCTAATTTTAAGATATAAATGAAATTTGACAGGACAAACTACATATTTTTACATGAAAGATAGTCTTAAAACCAAGGGAGACTCCAGCTATGTACTCACTAATTAAGGTCTACCTGTGATTTGATTTAAATTTGAGCTCTAAAAGGAGGCTCTTACTCAATGTTATGCTTCTTTGAGTACATAGTTGTTGGAATCATGTCTTAGAGTTAGGAGTGCTTTGGAAAGATTGCTGGATAATTGGTCATTGGACCAAATCTTTAGGAAATACTTAATTTTATTATTGCTTGATATTAGGAATCTGTTAGATGTCCTTAGGAAATACTTTAAATGTGTCAGATATGGCTCGTTCTTAGCAAGATATTTTCGTTCTTCCAAACATGTTTCAACTCTATAAAAGGGAGCAATGCAGTGAATAAACATAATTCTAAATTTATTTATTTGCTTTGTTTCTCTGCTTTCATTCTTGTGTTGTATCAAGAATGGTTTGCATAATATAAGTAACAGAAAAGCACAAAAGATATTTTCAAATGTCAATAACAAATGCCCTATAACACACACACACACACACACACTTTACCTCATCAAATCTAATGAGAGTGACAAACAAACGAATGTCTGCTTCAGTAAGTGTGTTGCCACATATATAGCGTTGCTTGCTTAATATATTTTCACATTTGTCCAAAGCTTCATACAATTGTCTCGCAGCCTGCAGAAAAGTAGGGCCAAGTTAACAGTTGCAATCACCTGAGCACAGTTTTTTTTTAAACAAATGTAAACATTAAAGTACTAATGTTGCCGAAGATATTAAAAATAGCTACCTACCTCATTGTATGGTTCTTGCTTCTTTGCAAACCCACATTTATAAACACCATTATTTATACTATCATATATCCACTCATTGATATTATCAATTTGGGCTTTTAAATCAGCGGGATACAAGTCCAAGGAGGGGTTTTCTGCAATATTGTTGAATTCAGTATTAAACATTCGTATTATCTCTGAGCTCTCGTTGTTAACAATTGTCTTGAGTTTCTTATCCCACAGAACCTGTGTGGATCAAAATCCATCAGTTGCCAATAAACATCTATCCAACAAAGTAATTCATAAAAACCAAGAGAGAAGGCAGTGTATATTCACATACAGGAACTGTGTACTTTCCAGTGTAGTTTTCACTTGCAATTTCATAAAGTTCCCTAATACTCTTTGCTCCATTCAACCTATCAGGTTCAGCTCCAGGCACCTCAGTTTCTGAATCAGGAAAAACCCACCCCTTATATTCATCTGATTCCTTTGTTCTTTCAAACACGGGTTTGACTGCCTGATCATTCATCAAACATGCAGGATATGAAATTAGGCGAAGAACTAAACAATTATTCTAATTGAAAAATTTTCTGCATGAAAGCTACTAACTAACCGAGAAACTGATGGCTTTGTTAAGTCCTTTGATATTCAAGTAAGCAAGGCACCTGGAAGCCCAAGGACAAGCATATGATACATAGAGATGATACCTCCCTGATTCTGGTGGAAATTGCGAATTCGAATCCCTTGAAATCCAATTTCTGAATGTGGAAGCAGATCTCACAAATGCACCCGTGTCTGATATCTCATCCAGTGAAGATCGTGCCATTCCAACTATATGCTAAGCAGAAGATATTCCAAGAACCAATCACAAACACAACCAAATCTTCAAAGTGAAGAATAGAACAAACTAAAACTCAGTTCAACAAGAAATTCACTCTAGTTCATGTATCATGCCACATACTTAAAGGATTCAGGGTTCACAAGATAATCATATACCACTAACAAATAAAAAAGTGAGGATCCTTCATCTTCTGTTCAAGAATAGATTTCCTAATCGCATGTAAGAAAGTTTTTCTCTAGTCAAAACAAACAAAAAGCAGATAATTTTCTTAAATGATTTTGACATGCACGAATTTTCACCATGCCCATTGCATATTTGGTGATGAAACATACCTTGTAGTTGTAGTTGCAGAGAAAGTTAGAGAAAGTAAAAGTGCTTTTGGGGCGTGGAAGTAGTGAAATGGGACACAACATGATTTCAGTGGATTCATATATTAGGTGACATAAATCAATAATCTAATAATAGATGTAAACTGAACAAGTGTCACGAAGCAACGTTTGACTCTTTTTTTGTTTTGTTTTTCTTTGGTCCAAAGCAACCTTATAGGCCAGACATTGCAAAATATTGTACAGTTAAATCAATGGTTTACGCACCACTCTTTTTTCTTAATTGTAAAATGTTTTGGAATTTTAATTTTAGGAAATATTTTCAATTTTAATTATAAAATATATTAAATAAATAATCTTTTAAAATTTAATTTTAGCATAGTGTTTTAATACAATCAAAACCTAAATTTGTAGAAGTGATATAGAAGAAAGAAAGAATGATATAACTATGGGCAAAAAGGGAAGTGAAGAAAGCCCACTCTACCAGGCTTAATGTGCGGCCCAAATTTATCGAACATGAGCAAGCATTTGCTTCTTGCACCCGTCATTTTTTAGAATTTCATAAACACTCTCACTTCAACATTTTCCAATCCAGAACACATCGATTTGAAATGTTAAAAAATTTTGTTTCGAAATATTAAAATTATGTTTTGAAGCATCCAGTAGAATATCCAATTTTAAAAATTAAAAATGTGTTCTGAATTAGACTTTCCTAAAAAGAAAATCAACATAAAATTATGATATATATATATATATATATGATGATGGTTATAATAATACTGGTGTAATTTTTACTAAATATTACACAACTCAATAACTTTATATTAAATATGAATTTTGTAAATCCAACCGTTAGATTGAAAGTTCATATTACTTTATATGTATATATTAAATTTTGTTAAAATTGAACAACAACTTGAAGGTAATCCAAGTATTTATATTTTAGTATATTTTTTTTTTGAAGAAATATTTTAGTATATTTTAAAATGTATAAATTACATCAATTTTGTTTTATAAGAATGAAGTATCAAATTATCTTGGATTAATATAAAATTTTGTATATATGATATAAGAATAAAGAACTTTCAATCTAACAGTTAGATTTACAAAATTCACATTTAATATGAAGTTATTGAACGGTGTAATACTTAGTAAAAGTTACACTGGTATTATTGTAACCTTCCTCTCTCTCTCTCTCTCTCTCTCTCTCTCTCTCTCTCT